CTTTAGTATGTCATAAAACTATAGTAAAAAGCTACAAGTCTACACAATCTGAACATTAGGTACACAGTGTCAGTTTGAACTTAATAGTTCCAACATCCCTTTTCTTTTAGGCAGCTGACCAAAAGAGCACTGAACTTTAGTTTTACAGCAATCACACGAAAGTCTCAAATTAAGTGCTCTTTTCCTTACCTGAAAAAAAACACATATACAAAGAAGATCCTACTTTAAGGATTAGGAAAATCCTTAAAACAAGATGACAAGTAAAATCCTTAAAACAAGTAGACAAAAAAATCCACTAAGCAAAAATCACATAGTCATTCCTCCTTACATACTTTTTCTTAGTCTCGTCTTCAAATCAGATGATTATTAGAAATGTTTGCCTGACTTTGCTAAACCCTACTTTAAAATAGTACAGTTATTTAAAAGTACTTCCTTCACTTTCTTAACAGAACAAAAATATCTTTTAACAACTAGATAAAATTGAAGTCTATTTTTATTTAATAAAAATAAGAAACTATTGATTTGGAATTGGAAGTTGAGGTTAGGAGAACAGTCTCATAATAAAAACGGTCGTAACTCTAAGAAAGGTTACAGCCATTCCATCACGTATGAAATACTATACCTGTTCTCAGTTTCAGAAGTTTGATTTGTAGATGAAGTGTGTGTCAACTGCTTGGGAGCCAAACCTACAACTAACCAAAGATTGTCATTGCATTAGAAAGTCATTAGCTACAAAGGAAATTTGAACTACACAACGTGTTCTTTTAAACACTGAAACTAATTTACTGAAGTTCAAGATAATGCTGCAATTTGCTCATAACCAATAAAAAGATGCAACTTTTGAGGCAGTATTCAAGTGTTTCACCACATATACTTAAACAATATGCAATTTTCTTTAACATTTTCTGGGCTTTTTCATGCAGAGCAGCTTGCCAACCGCTAAGCACGGGCAGTAGTGAAACTACACCAGAGTTTATAGTATTAGAATCATAAATGCCATCAGCTGAAGCATGCTCCATGACACTGAAGCAGCAATTCAGAATAGACTTAGAAAAAAAAAAAAAAAAACCAAACACCACATTTTCACATTCTCTTACAGCACAGAGTATTCAGCTCTAGAAAAATATCCTAAAATAGTAGTAAAATTGTAACTGGTTAATAGAACAAAATAATTAAGCAGTGCTCTCCAGATCAGATTTTCAAACAAAACAAAACCCTATCAAATAAAGAATTCTAGAACACAAAACAAAAGGATGAACAACTTCAAGGGGAAAGATATGCTAGTGATCCACTGATAGTATTTCTTAATCAAGCGTACTTGAGCTAAAATATTTACATCTCACTAATCACAAGGTCTTACAAACAGAATTCACAGGCTGAAAAAAACTAAAATACATAATAAAATGGGAGAGCGATTACACAATTCATAAGTTGGTCAAGATTAAGCACAACAAATTAGAAGAAAGAAATGCTGATATCTATGCAAAAGAAGTGGGAACCAGTAGAGGATCATCAACAAAAAGAGACACAAATTGAAAAATTGAAGGTTTTCTTATTAATTTATTACACGGAAAGGTTGTTCTTTGTGCTTGCTTATGAATAAGTTGTCACTTCACTTATGCTGAAATGGAGCACATTAAAGCATTAAAATATTCATGCATAAAGCACAAAGAATTACCAGAAGCAGAGCTGGGAAGAAAAACATACTACTTCTCACTTCAGAACCCCCAGATAAAACCACATTTGCTGCTACTAACATGGTCTTTGTTAGGTGCAAAGATAGATTAAAACCTTCAGAGAACAGCTCCAGTTCTGGAAGTTTGGCTCTGTGAAACATCCCTCTGGAAGGAATACTGTTACTTCCAATGCAGCTGATCAGAAAAAGAACAAAAATTATTAGTAAGCAATTACCTTGTGGGTTGCATTCTCCAGGCTCTTTTTTTAATTGTTTTGATGGTTTAGGAGCTGTAAGATGCTTGACTGGAGAGCTTTCTGGACTTGATTCCAAACGTAATTCGAAGTTCTAAACAAAACACAGAAGATTAGATTTAAATTAAAAAAAGCAAACAACTATTTAATGCCTCTAATATATTATCAAAACCACTCAATTAACACAGTATTAACACCTTGAATACAGCACCAGTTTTTCCTATTTCAATCATACATTGAAATTCAATTTCAAGTAGACAAAATGCATCAGCTTAGGTAGTCCATACTGAAGTAGAGAACACTCCCCCCACTCCACTTCTTTTAATGCATCTTTTCAGAAAAGCTTAAGTCATCACAAAACATCCAGATGAACCTGTACAACCTTTGGCTGCAGCAGGAAATTTTTAACCATCAACATTTAATTGGCTAAGGAACTTGGGAGAATGAACAGATCCATTTTCCAGTTTACTGTCATTTCATCTATGATAACACATCAGTGACAGGACCTTTAACACATCTGAAAGCGTAAGTTACTGTAAAATAAAGTCATTGTTAAAACAAACCTTCTAAGCAGGGCATTCTCAGAAAACAAAACAGACTCAGAACACCCTCCCCATCACGCGCTGTAACTAAAATGACTTACCTCATCAGGTCGTGGCTCAGAGAAATGTTTTGTCAAATTATGCAACAAACCATTTTCCGCACCTCTTTTCGTGGGTTGTTTCATTTCTAATGCCACTTCTTTACTTCCAGCTCTTTCAGATGAAGGGTCTGACTTGTCCTGCACACAAGTTGCACTTTCATTCTCAGACAGTCTTGTCACTGGCAGCTGACCTTCTGCCTTAGAATGCTGTGCTTCTGTAGCTATTTGACTTGCCTCTGAAACTTCAGGGAAATTTTTTAACAAAGAAAGCTTGGGGGCATTAACAGAATTTAAGTTAGTCTGCTTCACGTTATTAGCTTTCAGTAATTTGATTTTGGTCCATTTAGAGTTTTTGTTTGAGGAGTTACTTCTACCATTCAAAGTACACTTGACAGGCATTCCTTTTTTGCTAGGGAAGAAACGTTTGCACTGAGTACTTTGAGCAGGTTCTTTCTGAGTAAGCGTTTCACTTTGTTGCAGCTGTACTTCAGCATGCTTTTCTTCTTCTGTTTTACTACACTCAGCATTAGGGGAATCTTTCTTCACCTCTACTGTATCTGACTCAATTTCACCCGCAATTTCTTCACAAAGTTCAAGGATGCTCACCCTTTTGGATTTCACATCACTCTCGGGTTGATCAGCTACTTTTGTTTCACTTACAGATGGCTGTGAAACCTTGTTTGCCTTGATACTGCCTTTTACGTTCTGGTGCGCTTGCTGCTTTTCCTTAGTTACTGTCTTAGAATTTGGCTTCGGAGAATCTACTTTCACTTTCTTTGTGCTGCTAGGAATTGGAGATACAGGGTCTTTTTGGTCTTTCTTAACTCCTTCAAGGTCGTCATCAGGACATAACGACGAGTCTTCAACGCTACGTTGAAGGCTTTTTGAATTGTCATTTTTCTTGTCTGCCTTACACTTCTTCTCTCTCGGAGAGCTGGTCACTTCTACATGTGTTTCTTTATCTTCTGCATTGTTTGACTTTATTTTGCTATTTTTCTGCTCTGCTTTCTCTCCAGCAGGCTTAAGCACTTTCGGTGCAACATTGTGAGCAGGTTTCTTAGCCTGGCTACTCTGTTTCACATCCAAAGCTTTTCCTTCTTTAACTTCTCTGCTGCGAAGGGATCGTGCAGACTCTTCTACATGTGTTAGCTGCTGCAGCCTCTGTGATCTCCTCGCACCAGGCTCACTTGGAGCAGTTACGCATTTTGACCTAGGAATTTCTTGCACAGTTTTTTTCTGGCACACCTCTTTACTTTTTGTAGATTTGGGCTGCTGTTGGACCTTTTTGTCAGGTACTGTTTTACTATTTGAATTGAATCCCGACGACCTTGTAGTCATGCGTGTTCCTAGTTCACATTCATTTGCATTGACACTGAAATATTCAAATAATTATTCTTCAGCACCCAGAAAAATCCAATTTTTCATTAAAAATGTCACATTCCTACTAACCTCTGATTGTGGTTTGTTGGTTTTTTCCCCCCCTCTTTATAAGAAATATATATTTGTAATACTTTTAGAATCGCTTTCTCTGGAATCTGTCTAAAGAGACATCACTTCCACCTGGTTACTCTTAAGTGCAGTGCTCAATGCCTTTTTACGTATTGCAAGACTGAACCATGAACTCCGCATGAATGCCCGTAGTAGGCAACACAACAAATGCCTTCCAACATTTCTAGCACATGTTAGTTGTTGATACTTGTAGCTTTTAAATGAAGTATTAGCTTTATTTTCCCCTCCAGAACCCTTTCTGAAGGAGTCCTTCTGGATTTCAAGACACTAAAATGGTTCCGGAAAAAGATCATGTAGAAGATATCAAAATGATAAAGCTGATTGTCCCACTAGTAATATTTAACTATTTAATATTTAACTATTTTAACTACCTTTAACTCCAATTCACTCTCTTTATACTGTTTTCTGCACTAATTCAGTCTAGGAAGAAAATGTAGAATAATTACTTATTTGTTTTATCACTGACCTGTTCGATTTGACAGAGGTTCTAAGTACAGTTTTCTCCTGCGCTGCACACTGATTAGAGTTCGATTTATTTGAAACATGTTTTGCATCTGACACCTCTTTCTCCTTCTTTGCTGATGATGGTCTGCTGTTCTTGTCCAGCCTGGGACGTTTAGCAGACGGTTCTACTAACGCAGACTTCCTTTTCTGAGCTGCCATTTCTGTAAAACACAACAATTGATTCAGCTTTCAAAGTCTTTGACAGCTGTTACTGTCAAAGATCTGCCCCTTTTACAAAATAAAGTAACTGATATTCACTTTTCCTTTTAGAGGCAGGCCATGCTAATTTTGTTCAGAGAGCAAATCATTGAAGTAACCAAATTACATTTATTTTACTTACAGGTTTTTACAAGAGGCAATCGATGTTTAGGCCAAAGTAACTGATCACGGTGTGCCAAGAGCATTCCTTACGTATATGCTTACAAACAAGACGTTTCATGACACCTACGAAAAGCACAACATGTTCACACAGCACTTAGATCAAGTCAGTACTTTATTAAAGTTTCTTCTCAGACTCTGAACTCAATATTCCCACCCTCTTCCAACCCCTCAAACAATACTTAAAACTTCTTTGATATTCAATTTAAAAACAAACAGACAAAGATTTCTGCTTTTATTTACACATCTCAGAATGCTGGGCATTTTGCTGTCTTACCTCTTGAACTGTGGCAGATACAGTACATATTTCAAGTTTCTTGGCCTTTTGCATTTTTCCAGAAAACAGTAAGGTGCCCTTTTTTCATAGTGGGCCTCCTCACAACTCTGTGCATCCCAGCAACAGCAATTCATTACATTCTAAGTTTTGAGTCTGCTTCTACAGAACTTTAAGGACATCAGCAACTGTCTACGACTTCTCCATCTAATACCAATTACGCTACGGTTCAGAGACAGAAAGTCTAGGAAGTAGCATTTTTGAGACGTTTGCCCTGGGCATTATGCAAGATGATGTCTCCTGAAACAATATTAAAGAAGCAGCAATTAATAAGCACTAGAGTCTAAAAACTGACAGATTCTTGGTGAAGCCATTCCAGGCTCTTTTACACCTGTGGCTTCTACAGCTTTTAAGTTCTCTTATCAAAGGTACCATTTTAAGCAATAATCGTTCAGTAAAGGTATAATCATCTCTCTAAAAAGTTGAGGTTGCTGGAAGACACAGTGCTCAGAACTTCCCTACCACCTTTTTAGGTCAAGATTTATCCATTAATTTTTGCAAAGGACAGCCAGACAAATTTCTAAAAGAGAACTCTAATAGTTTTCAAGTGTTAACTCATCCGATGTAAAGAAACAGATTTCACGGTCAAGCAGGAACTTCACAATTACCAGCTATACAACACTGCTTAGATATTTCGTTTCAGCACAACATCAGTCAGCCTTCCAGCACTCACAAACACATGCCTTTTTCCCAGCAATTTGGCAGATGCTCACATTAAGCAACTTTTAATAACCATTCATCATACAGAAAGAAAAGAGCTATGTATTCTTTCCAATATTTCACACCTACAATTGTCATTAACCCCTCTCTTGTGAGGCCATCTCTAAACACACAGGATGAATGATGCTCAAATTTAGACAGACACCAATGCTGTTTTCTGACTTTCTTGTTTAAAGAAGCCATGTGACCAGCAACATACATTTGAAGTGGCATTAAAGAACATATATAATGAAAAAAATCTCTAATAGCACTTCTCATATTGATTCTTTTCCAGGTTGGATGGGGCTCTCAGCAGTCTGATCTAGTGGTTGCCAACTATGTCCATGGCAGAGTCCCTTCCCTTGATGGTCCCTTCCAACCTAAGCCATTCTTTGATTCTATTTCCATGTCTCTCCCTAAGAAGCAGAAAACAGAGCCTTGCTAATAGCGAATGTGCTCTGTGCCATATAGGAAAAACAAGTTTTCCACTCCCCAAAGTCAAGAGATGCAGTATGGCCAGCTTACAACTGCACTCAGGACAAAAACACGAGGCACAGAGACCAAATGAGGCTGTGGGCTTACAGTCTCTTAGTTCAGAGAACACCAGTGACTCCCAGCATCGGTGGGATCTCGGTGACACACACACCATGCAGCCACACAGACCTTCCTGGTGCTTTCCAGCCACTCCGGGCCACATGACAGGGCACGTTCAAGGAAGACTTTCAAGAGCAAAGCAAAAACTGCGATCCTGATCCTTCCCTCGTCGATACTGCTTTTCAGGGCACTGACAAATCATCCTCCTTCCACAAACAGCTCCGGCTTCTTAGCAGCCAATCCCTCTCTCCTAACGCCGTCGGCAGCTGGGCAAGGACCTGCCAGTTCTTCAGCTCCTGCCCCGAAGAAGTCCCTCTGGTACAAAGCCAGGTTAGGAGAAGGGAAGGCGCTGAAGAAACGCGAGAACAAACTAAGCAACGACCAAAGCATTCGCTACACGAAGTGGAGGAGAGCCCAGCAACGCCGCAGCACCCACAGCGCCGAACCCCCGAGGCAGGAACGAGCCTTCGGCTTCTGACGGGCTGGAGAGGAGGTGAGGGGGGGAGGGGGGAGGGGAGACACCTGCCTGACAGGGCCGGGCTGACATACGGACCTCGGAACTTCAGAGAAAGGCCAAGGGAAGGCCTCGGCGCGGGCCCGGTACCGCCCCACGGCCACAGCGCTGTCGGAGCGGGACCCGTCGGAGCCCACAGCCGGACGGGCCCTCCTCAGAGCGGGGCGACCGTTTCCGCGGGGCGAGGGGGGCGCTGAAGGAAACGGCCGCGCGCCGCCGGCACGACGACAGCCGGCACCGCCCGCTCGCCCCCGCCACGATCGCGGGGCTCGGCGGCCGGCGGCAGGCCCGGGCCGGCAGGCCCGAGGCGGGGAGAAGGCACGGCTCAGCGAAGCGCTGCCGGCGCGGAGCCGACGAGAGCCACCGTCAGGCGGCGGCCCGTACCCGCGGGCGGGAGCGACTCCTGGACCAACCGCCCGCCCGGCCCGCTTACCTCGCGCCAGGGTAGGGACGTGCGGCGGCGCCGAGCCGCCCTCCGCACCGGGCTGCCAGCTGCGGGATCGGGGCGGGGGGAGGAGGGGCGGGGCGGAGAGGGTGGGCGGAGCGCGGAGCGGCTCACATCCGGGCATTGCCGCAGGGAGGGGCTGCGCGGGCGCAGTAGGGCGCCGCTTCGGCTGGTGGTGCCGTGCGGTTGTGTGGCGGGCTTTTCCTTCGCGCTGTCCTCTGGGCTGAGGTGCCTGCACCAACAAGCGGGGATTCATAGGATTATTAGAGGTTGGAAAAGACCGTTAACGTCATCTGTTTCAGCCATCGGCCCGTCCCCACCGTGCCTGCTGACCTCGTCTCTCACTGCCGCATCCACACGGTTCTTGAACGCCGCCGGGGACGGTGACTGCAGCACCTCCCTGGGCAGCCTGTGCCGTTGCCTTACAGCTCTGTATGAGAAGAAATTTCTCCTAATATCCAACCTGAACTTCCCCTGGTGCAATATGATGCCACTCCTGCTCGTCTCATCGCCGCTGTCTGACCACGTCTGGCAGTAAGATGCCGGCAGCTGGGCAAGTTGTGCACCGTGTTTCACAAATCATTCTATAGCATAACCATGCATCTGTAATTTTTTTTCCTCTGTTCTCTGAGATGTTTCAGTCTTGTTAATTCAGTGAAGAGACAGTCTTAAAGATTCATATTTTTCCAACAGCAGATCTGTAGCTTAAGAGACTTGCCCCTTCCCTTTGGCAATTAGTCAATATTCCTACAGCAATTACATCAATTAAACATATAGGAGAAGCATTTTTGGAAAAGAATTTATTGTATGACTGTCTTATTAGAAGCTCGCATCAGCAGCTAGATTCTCCTTTGAGAGTTAGATTCATGACTACAATTTAGGAGCAGTTTGGCTGCGTAATATAGAAAGTTTAGGTTTTTTAGCATGCTGCTACCTCCAACAACTTTAGTGAACTTCGACAGGAAATCAAGATAGTGCACAGTACCTCTGCCAATATTTGAGATCTGTATTTCAATATACATAGATAAATACGTGCATAAGTACATAAATGCATCCTTCATATGCATAAACATGTACATAACATGCATCTAGCATACATGTACATAAATATGTCTTACCATCTTCAAGTATTGGAACAGGCTGCCCAGGGAAACAGTGGAGTCCTCATCCCTAGAGGTGCTTAATGATTCTATGATTCTTGTTACTCTGGATTATGGTTTTGTACTCCATCTAACTTTACCCCGTGGATTCATTCTTTCAGGGTATTTCAAGCTCTGAGCTAACATCCGCATTAGCAAGTAACAGGAGATGTTCTGAGTTAAATCAGCAGGGCTGAGGTTTACAGATGCACCAGCCCAAGGTGGCTTCAGCTCAGCCCAATAAACGCTGCCACCACTAGGGCTGGAGCGTGTTGTGTATGTTCTGGGGATATGTCTGCTGGTTTGATGTCACTCAAAAGGAATCTGGCTGGCACTCTCCAAGAGGGAGCCTGACAAGTAGGAGCAACAGAGGGGGTTGCTTCAGAAGTTCATTCCTCATCCTCATTCAGCCTGAAGAAGCAAAGGCTTTGGGCGGATCTGATAGCAACCTTTCAGCATTTAAGAGAAGCTTATAAGCAAGAAGGAAATCAACTATTTACACAGGTAGATAGTGATATGACTAGAAGGAGAGGGTTTAAACTAAAAGAGTGGAAATTTAGATGTCAGGGGAAGTTTTTCACCCAGAGATTGGTGAGGCGCTGGCACAGCTGCCCATGTAAGCTGTGCCCCATCCCTGCAGGCGCTCAAAGCCAGGTTGGATGGGGCCCTGGGCAGCTGAGCTGCTGAGTGGCAGCCCTGCCCATGGCACGGGGTGGGACTGGGTGGGCTTGGAGGTCCCTTCCAACCCAAGCCATTCCTCAGCACTAATGCTGAGGAACCTAGTATCATACATAGCATACATAGTATTCTCCTTCTGAGGTTCCAGGCCAGGAGAAAACTAAAGTAAGTGTGATCTGAAATGCATGTAGTATACTTGTTGGTTTTGCCACCGGTATGTTCTGCTTGCTAACAGCCATCTCTCAGTTGATTTGATTATACATTTCCATGCTGGTGAGAATATATCGCTCCATCAGAATGACTGGAGACAAGTGTGGTGAACCTCAGCATTAGCCAACCAGTAAATGACTTTGAAAGTTGAATTTTTGTTTATTTTTTTATTTTTTGTGCATGGTAATGTGTGACAGGTGTTCTCCCATAGATTCCCAGTTTCTTGTGCAGATTTCAAACTAACAGAGAGCACAAAAGTAGTACTTGAGAGCTACCCAGCATAAACTTTCTCTAAATATTCCTTTGTTAATATTTGAAGTATTTTGAAGATGATATTTTCATTTTGATACTAAAATTTTTAGTCCTTTTTTTATAATCTCAAACATTTTGTTGTTTCTATAGCTGTTAGATATACTAGATTAACTGTTGGGAAGCATACACAAGTTGCTGAATGATTTTTTTTAAAATATATAAATCAAATTATGTAGAGGCATTTTGCTTTACCTGTAATTTCCCTCCCCCTCCCCCCTTTATTATCTGAAACAAGGAACTTCCCTTGATAAGTCTTCTTTCTTGACAAACCTCTCTGAAGCACAGTTTCTCCTAGGCAAATGGAGATTTTCAGCAGCTGCAGTGTTTGAAAAAGCTGATAGCAAGGAAATGTTATTTATAACTTCCTGTTACAGCTTCTTTTCAACGCATGATAATCTGCTGTGACTTTACAGTGAATGCAGCCGCACATGGTCCCTTGTAGGTTATTGCAGGAGTGCAGAATTCTTTCTAGATGAAAGGTACTTTAGTCACTGGTTTGCCTGTAAACTTTCTGGAGGATGATAAAAGCATTTTTTAATGTGATGGCTAGCTTTGTAAACTTAGCAAGATATTTTTACATCTTTTTTTCTTAGCACCATGAAGCAAGTAAAGCTAGGTTTTTCTCACATCCTTCCATGGAATAGTAATCTGCTGAACAGCAAAATTTCGTAAAGAAGCAAGCGTTCTTGTAAAGCATTGCATTCCAAAACTCAAGAAAACTCAGGTAATGGAATAGAAGAATATGAGTAAACTTCCAGCTTTCCCACAGAAGGTGGCAGCATTGGAAGCACTAATTTCAGTTTGAGTGTTCGAGCTGATGTCTCCCCTGCTGATAGGACAGGAGCGTCTCAGAAATGTGTTCTCCTCAGAGGATGTGGTGACTGTAAACAACAGTGCTTAGGGGCAGTTTTACTCTGAGTCTAGAGGACTTGCAGGGGAAGGAGAAACTGCATTCACACAGGTGCAGCGTGTTGATTGAACAGGTGTAAAGCCAGAAGGATTTTATTTTAACCTAGCTTTATTTACTAATTTTAAGTGTAATACTGCTGGAGTGCCTGTTAATGGCAGCTGACTCAAGAAGGAATTGCTGCGTACTTGCAGTCTGAGTTCTTGATCCTGTGTCCTACCATGGCAGTCCTGCTAGCACAGAGACCTTGCAGCCCCTTTGACATGTTAACACATACTGAACCTGCCTGGCTGGTTATCAGGTACCTCATCTGGGCAAGGAAGTGGTGACTGACAGATGCAGAAGTAGTTGTTGCTTAAACCTCTCTGCTGTGATTAACCCTGCACACGCTGCCAGTGCATCTGAAGAATTTCTCAGTCAGGTTAGCCAAAGCCACATGTGAAGCTGGTTTAGACTAGTGGTTTTCTAATCACTGTATGTATAGTTCCTTTAATGGACCGGAAAGGAAGCTGAGACAGCACGGGGATCTTATTCCTATCCTTTCTGCAGATTCATGAAGTCCCCATACTCTCATCCAAGAGGAGGGAAGAGGCTGGATTCTTGCATGTCTAGTAGGAAAAAAAAAAAAAAAAAAAAAAAAAAGGACAGGAAAATTGTATCCCACAGAAGAAGAGGTTTTTGCCAGTGAAGAACTGCTGACCATTGTGGGTTCCTGTGTGTTTGGCAGATTTTTGCTTTCCCTCTCTTGGAATGGAAATAAATAATAATATGTATGTGTATACATATATATGGCTGGGATATTTCTACAGCAGTTATCTGCAGTTGTTGTTTTCCAGGCTGGCAAGAAACATTGCTGACCTGCTTTGAGGAAGGGAACCAGCGTGTATGTTGGAGATATAGCTATGTCTGGTTTGCAGTGATTTGGGGCCAGGCCAGTGATTGTAAATGTGTGTCAGTTGTGCATGAGAGGTCCAAACAATTACAGAAAAAGGGAAGGGGCCCAAAGTCTGAAACGTTTGGGAACTGTTAAGAAAAACAAGCTGCTTTGTTTTGTTGGCTTGAAGGGTTCAAGCAATTGCCTACTGGATCTCAGTTGGAAGAGGCAACTTGCAGCTGAGAGGAGATAAGGAGCTTCCAGAAACACATATTGGATGTAACTCTGGAAAGGAGAGGCCTTTTCCAATCCCTGTAGTGGTCAGTCTAGTTCATAGAGTGACTGTGCTCCATGACAGTCAGCATGTGGATGTCTGAATGTTGATACCTGGTGCCTTATGAACACAACCATGAGGACCTGCTTCATGCCAACAGCATTAATTGCCATTTCATCAACAGCAGGTCTCATGGAGTTGTTTACTGCTCCCCATTGCCCATTCTGGTTAAGTCTTGTAAGCCATACTGGTGTGTGTTCTGGCTTCCTAAAAAATGCATTAATCCTTCTGTTCATTGTGAAATGTATGCAATGGGTTAGTTTCTTTGCATCCTTAGAAAAATATTTTCATTTCTATTCTAAATTTTCATTTTGTCTAGGTCTATTTGACAAGACTTAATACACTGTACTCTAAAACCTTAGTCTTTGCTTAGATCCAGCATGGTTTCTGGGTGACGGAAGGCCTCACAGGTATAAACAGTACATTGCATAAGCTCCAAGAGCAAGCTGAGGTTATGTTCTGGAGCATATCTGTAATAGGCACCCTTGTGAGCAGGAGGATTGCACTAGACAGTTTTTAGATTTTCCTTTCAACTTCAGCTATTACACAGTTCTGAAGCAAGAAGAAAGTTGCAATTACAAAGTGTCTGTACCTCTGTGACTTGGAATTTTGTTCTCATTACCTGTCTTTCCACTAACCTGTTCTGCTAACAACGTTGTTCTCCCCATCTCCAACACCTGTTTTCCTATTGCTGTTTGCTTTCTCAGATTCCCATGAAAAGCCAAAGAGCCTATATGAACTCACACTTCTGAACAGAGTGCACATCCTGGACTCAGTATTTTAGCTTGCTAGTGAAGCTTTGTGTATAACATATAAAATACTACATAGGAAAATTTCTTATAGTGTTTCTTATTAGCTCTTGTGTCTCTTCAGCTCTTAAGTGTCTGTATCTTATATTTCAGAAAATCTGACCGGGAAAGTTTGAAGGTAACCGCAGTAAAATTTGATTGTTGTCTGTCAGCATTCAGTGCTTTGGACAGAGCATTTTCCCCAACAGGATGTGAGCAAAAGCACTCTACATCAAGGGAATGACAAACACTTAATAGATACTTATAAAGAGAAATGTATCATGTGGATCTGTGTGTAGAATTGGACCTAAATGAAATAAGTGCAAAGAGACGGAAATTCTGCCATCAACCATGTTACTTTTATTTAATAAGTAAGGTGTGTTTTTAATATAAGTGGTTTTT